GGAGGGGGGGGGCAAGGGGTCTAGAATTTATTAGAATTATTTTGGTGTGAGGTGGAGGCCATGGGCACCCAGAAGCCAGAGGAATGGGCCAATTTGTTGATTACGAGATTCGAGGATCAGGTATTGTTGATTGGAGTTTTTTAATTTGTGAATTTTTTTTTGAATGTTCAAATAAGTTAAAGTAATTTTTGGAATTTTGTAGCTGCCATGCGGAGCTGGACCCCAAACAACCAACTCCCAGGTGAACGAGGAGAAGAATCGAAAGTATTTGATTCAGATATCGAGGCACAGATTCTCTCTGGTGATTGGGGGGCTGACGAAGATATTGCAGAGGGTTAATGAGATGCTGCCTGGGAACAGTAGTCAGAGGCTTTTTCATTATTCGGAGCAAGAGAGAAATCGCTATGAGTCGATTATCATTGTTTTGGATACGCTGGAGCAGTGTCTGGCTAATCAGCCCAAGGACACGGCTAATAAGGAGGAGACCATGAACGTCAAGTTGTTGTTGAGGCAGATTTGTCAGTTTATAAACATAACAAATGATAGCCAACTGCATTCTCACATAAAGAGTCTCGCCAGCAAGGTCCTCTTTGCCCTAAGCCTAAATTTCTTCTCAGCAGTATTCAATCGTATATCGGACCATCTCCAGGAGCTCTCAGTGTGCAGCGAGGAGACACCAGACTGCAATGATATAGAACTAATCCAACATATCAACATTGACATAGACCGACTTATGCAACTGCTAACTGAAACAATCCAAAAATTTCGTCTGCTCAAAAAATCAGCCCATATCATCCTGATGAATTCCCTGGAGCGTGCCATCTGGAACTGGATGGACACGTATCCCCAGGAGTTCTCAGACGTTCAGAAGAGGCCGAATGACACTCTTGCCAAAATCTGTGGTGAGCTCTTTGACGTTCTCGATGGTTTCGCTGAGAACAAGAAAGGTAGAGCTGCTGCTGTTTGGCCTCTCCAGATAATGCTCCTCATTCTCTCGCCAAAAGTTCTCGAGGAGATTGTCAATGCAGACTCTGGTGCCCCCTGTTCTCCAAAGCACTCGAAAAAGAAACAATTCATTGATGGAGTTAAACGTGGCCTAGTGATGCACGGTTCCAGTCGACAGATAACCGAAGCTGCAGCTGTCACCTGCGTCAAACTCTGCAAGGCCTCCACCTACATCAGCAACTTGGACTCCAACAATGTCATCTTCACCCTCGTCCAGCACGTTATGGGTGATCTCACAGGCCTTCTATTCAATCCCACAAAACCCTTCTCCAAGGGAGGGAGCTCCATATCTCAGGACATCGAACTGATGATCGACTGTTTCGTCAGTTGCTTCAGAATAAAACCCCACAACGATGAGATCCTCAAGATCTGCCTCAATCTCAATTCACCATCAATCTATCAATTTATTTTAGTGAGTTCGTTGTACAGAATTGTTACTCAGCCTAGGCTACTCTGGTGGCCCCAGATCGACCTCATATACCCTAAAAGTCCTGAGTTGAGGAATATGTTCACGGATACATTGAACAAAGTTACCCAGAGCTACATATCTCCCACACCCTTGAAGATGATTCAGAGTTTTACGATGAAGGGAAAGGAGCAGGGGAAGTACAAGGACAGGGGCGAGGAGATAACGAGCCACAAAAATCTGCTGCTCTGGATGGTGAGGCTCATTCATACTGATCCCATGCTGATGCTTTATAATCATGGAAAGGCTGGACACGAGATCCAGAGCTCCACCCTGGAGCTCATCAATGGACTCGTGTCTCTGGTCCATCAACCCACGATGCTGGACATCGCCAATGAAGCCATGGAGGCTCTTCTCGTTCTTCATCATCCTGATAAGATCAAGGCCTGGAATCCAGAGGCTCCCATCAAGACTTTTTGGGACGTCAGCTCGCAGGTACTCTTCTCCATATCTCAGAAGCTCATTCAGCATCAGATTGTCAACTACACTGACATACTCAAATGGCTGAGGGAGATCCTCGTCAGGAGGAACGCTTTTCTATCGGAGAATAAGGATTATGCCAATGTTGGCAGTCAGATCGCCATCTGCAAGCAGGCGCATATCAAGCTCGAGGTAGTTTTCTTCATGTATCTTTGGAGCATCGATATGGAGGCTGTACTCGTTGCTCTCTCCTGCTTCTCCCTCATCTGCGAGGAGGCGGAGATCAGATGTGGCAGTGATGAAGTTGCTGTTACGTGTCTTTTGCCTAATTATCATTTGTATATTGAGTTGGCGCAGACCTCCTCCACGCTTACTACTGGTGAGTTTTCTGTGATTGCCTTCACCTTTTAGTTTTCTACAAATCTATATAAAGTTCCAAATGCGAATTGCAAGAATTACATTGTAATTCAATACAACTGCTTTTCAATTATATCCATTGTAACGATATGCTCCATTCTCTTGAATATGCAGCTAGTGGAGAAAGTAGGATATGTTATCATGAACATAATCAAGGTGAGCAAAAATTTAGAATTTATGGGATGAATATAATTTTTGTGAAATCAAAAGATCTCGTCGATGAAATTACCACAGAAAAAATATGTTTTGTAAGTTTTGCCTGAAATCATCTGTACTCATTCCAATGGAGTCTTGACTCTCTGAATGTGATCCCCAGGTCGGGCCGCCCTGCAGAAGCGAATAATGGCGCTACTGCGAAAAATCGAGCATTGCGTTAACGGTGTACAGCCCGCCTGGGAGGAAACCTTTCGTAACTGGGAGTTCACCTGCCGCCAACTGACCAACTACCCTAAGAATAAAACGGAAGACGGCCAGGTAGAATCGTTCCACCGTAGCACAGGGAAACGTCGTGCTTCTCACCAGAACTCCGAGCACGAACTGGAAGAACAGATCAACGAATGGGCGAATATGACAGGTTTTCTGTGTGCCCTAGGTGGCGTCTGCCTCCAGCGAAAGTCCCCAAACCGTCCGATGCCCTCAGGTATTCTGCCCACTCCCGAACCCAAGAAGATCCTTACCAAGTCCCAGGAATCCTGTCTAGCCAATCCAAGCCAGGAAGTCCAGTACTGCCCAGTGACGCAGTTTGTATTAAATCTGCTGCGTCTCCTAATCCGTAACAACGAAAAATTCGGTGCCCAAATTCAGAAGCACGTCAAGGAGCTAGTGGGCCAGGAGATGAGCCCAGCCCTCTATCCCATTCTCTTTGACCAGATCAAGAGCATTGTTGAGAAATTTTTCGACCAACAGGGCCAAGTAATCGTACTCGACGTTAACACTCAATTCATCGAGCACACGATTTTCATAATGAGGAATGTTTTAGAATCAAAATCAGATCAGCCATCTGAGTACCTGGGGATGACGAGCATCGAGGGGATGACTCTGGCGATCGTGAGGTACGTTCGACATTTGGACACAACAGTCTACGCTATCCACATAAAAACAAAACTCTGCCAGCTGGTGGAGGCAATGATGAAACGAAGGGATGACCTGGCATTCAGACAGGAGATGAAATTCAGAAATAAACTTGTGGAGTACCTCACTGATTGGATAATGGACACGACACACCAGATAGCACCACCACCAAACTCTGCGGACATGACGACCATCACTCGAGACCTGGAGCAAGCCTGCATGGAGGCAGTGGGTTCTCTTCTTCGAGGGCTGCCTCTTCAGCCAGAGGAGTCAGACAGGGGTGATCTCATGGAAGCCAAGTCCCAGTTGTTCCTCAAGTACTTCAGCCTCTTCATGAATTCTCTGAATGACTGCAACGACGCTGCCAACGAGGAGAAGGAAGTCGTGTCCAGGCAGAGGCTCACCTCTGAGAAGCTGTCGAGTCTCAGAAATGCAACGATCCAGGCAATGTCTAATTTACTGAGTGCGAATATCGACAGTGGTTTGATGCATTCGATAGACCTGGGGTACAACAGGGATCTTCAGACGAGGGCTGCCTTTATGGAGGTCCTCACAAAGATCCTGCAACAGGGCACTGAATTCGATACTCTAGCCGAGACGGTCCTAGCTGACAGATTTGAACAGCTTGTCCAGCTTGTCACCATGATAAGCGATAAGGGAGAGCTCCCCATAGCAATGGCCCTGGCAAATGTCATAACATCGAATCAAATGGACGAACTTGCGAGGGTTTTCGTCACCCTCTTCGACGCCAAACACCTCCTCTCGCCTCTTTTATGGAACATGTTCTATCGAGAGGTGGAAGTCTCGGACTGCATGCAGACATTGTTCAGAGGGAACAGTCTGGGCTCCAAGATAATGGCCTTTTGCTTCAAGATATACGGAGCTAGCTATCTCCAGAATCTTCTGGAGCCTCTGATAACTCCATTACTTGGAGACTCATCCACGAGCTTTGAGGTGGATAGCGCCAGGATCGACGTCAATGAGAATATCGAGCAGAATGGGAGGAACTTGATAGCACTGACTCAGAAGGTCTTCGATGCAATAGTCTCATCAGCTGACAGATTTCCTCCGCAGTTGAGGTCCATGTGCCACTGTCTGTACCAGGTGCTTAGCAAGAGATTCCCCCAGTGTCCTCAGAACAACATTGGTGCTGTGGGGACTGTGATATTCCTGAGATTCATCAATCCCGCAATCGTATCCCCCCAGGAAATGGGAATTGTCAATAAACCAGTGCCTGTCCAGGTGAAACGAGGCCTCATGCTTATGTCTAAAATCCTCCAGAATATCGCCAACCACGTGGAGTTCAGCAAGGAGCAGCACATGCTGTCTTTCAATGATTTTCTTCGTCTGCACTTTGAAATTGGTCGTAGATTCTTCATCCAGATTGCGTCAGACTGTGAGACTGTGGACCAGACCAATCACCCGATGTCTTTTGTCTCGGATGCAAACGTTCTGGCTCTTCACAGATTACTCTGGAATCACCAGGAGAGGATCGGAGATTATCTCAGCAGCTCGAGGGACCACAAGGCAGTTGGAAGAAGACCTTTTGATAAAATGGCGACATTATTAGCTTATTTGGGACCCCCGGAGCACAAACCTGTTGACTCTCACTTGCTATTCTCATATGCTCGTTGGTCCAGCCTCGACATGTCTTCCACCAACTTCGAGGAGATAATGGTGAAGCACAATATGCACGAGAAAGAAGAATTCAAGAGCATCAAGAGCCTCAATCTGTTCTACCAAGCTGGCACCTCTCGACAAGGAAATCCAGTGTTTTATTACATCGCTCGAAGATACAAGATTGGTGAGACCAATGGAGATCTCCTCATCTATCATGTGATGCTGACGTTAAAACCCTTTTGCCATGCACCATTCGAACTCGTTGTGGACTTCACTCACACTTGCTCCGATAATCGTTTCAGAACAGAGTTCCTGCAGAAATGGTTTTACGTTCTTCCTGAGGTCGCCTACACTAACATTCATGCAGCTTACATCTATAATTGTAATAATTGGGTGAGGGAATACACGAAGTATCATGACAGGATTCTTGTTCCTCTCAAGGGCAATCGTAAAGTGATTTTCATTGATTCACCAGCGAGACTTAACGAAGTCATTGAGCCAGAGCAGCAGAAGCTCCCTGGAGCAACTCTAACTCTCGATGAAGACCTCAAAGTCTTCACGAGTGCTCTCAAATTATCCCACAAGGACACCAAAGTTTCGGTTAAGGTCGGTCCCTCAGCGATACAAATAACATCATCAGAAAAGTGCAAAGTCCTGTCGCACCAGGTGCTCCTTAACGACGTGTACTATGCCTCTGAGATTGAGGAGGTATGTCTCGTCGATGACAATCAGTTCACACTGACCATCTCCAACGAGGCAGGACCCCTCTCGTTCATTCACAACGATTGTGACAGCATCGTTCAGGCTATCATTCACATTAGAAACCGATGGGAATTGTCACAGCCCGACTCAATGTCAGTTCACACCAAGATCAGGCCTAAAGATGTTCCTGGAACTCTCCTCAACATGGCTCTATTAAACTTGGGCAGCTCGGATCCCAATCTTAGAACAGCTGCCTACAATCAGCTGTGCGCACTTACAGCGACTTTTGACCTCAAGATTGAGGGACAACTGCTGGAAACTTCTGGTCTATGCATACCATCGAATAATACTATTTTTATTAAACATCTGAGTGAAACACTGGCAACTAACGATCCACATCTGACCCTGGAATTCCTCGAGGAGTGCATGCAGGGGTTCAAGGTGTCGACAATCGAGTTGAAGCACCTCTGCCTGGAGTACATGACACCCTGGCTGAAGAACCTCGTGAGATTCCACAAGCCTAATGATGAGGGTGGCAAGAGACAGAGGCAGGTCACACAAATCCTCGAAAAGCTCATTATCCTAACAATTGAGGAGGTGGAGATGTACCCCAGCATTCAGGCGAAAATTTGGAGTACCATTGGTCGTCTACCAGAATTAATCGACACTGTTCTTGATAATTTCATTCAGAAGAGCGTAGGATATGGCCTGGGATCTCCAATGGTGGAGATTATGGCGGACACTGCTGTGGCACTGGCTTCAGGAAATGTCCAGCTGGTGGCGAAGAAAATAATTGGAAGACTCTGCAGAGTTGTGGATAAAACTTGCACCTCACCCACTCCTCTGCTGGAGCAACACATGATGTGGGATGATATTGCTATACTGGCAAGATATCTGCTGATGCTATCATTCAATAATTGTCTAGATGTGGGGAAACATCTGCCTTATCTCTTCCACACGGTGACCTTTCTCGTTTGCTCTGGGAGCCTGTCGATGAGGGCCTCCACTCACGGTCTTGTCATAAATATTATCCACTCACTGTGCACCTGCAACTCTCCCTCTTTCTCAGAGGACACCTACAGAGTCCTGAGGATGAGTCTCGATGAGTTCTCGTTACCAAAATTTTATCTGCTATTTGGTATCAGCAAGGTGAAGTCCGCTGCTGTCACTGCGTTCAGGTCGAGCTGCAGGCACTCGAGTGACAAGTGGTTTTCCAATGAGAGAACAACATGTGGAGGGCAGGATCGAGAGAGACTGTCGTTAACGAGTCTCGAGGTCATTACTGATGCTCTACTGGAGATCATGGAGGCCTGCATGAGGGATATTCCCAGGTGTGATTGGCTGGGTACGTGGACATCTCTGGCAAGGAGTTTTGCATTTTGCTTTAACCCTGCACTTCAGCCAAGAGCTCTCATCGTCTTTGGGTGCATATCGAAGAGCATCACCGATCAGGATATCAAGCAACTGCTGAGAATTCTAGTCAAGGCCCTCGAGAGTTTCAATGATATTACCCTGTTGGAGGCTATCATCATGTGTCTGACGAGGCTGCAGCCTTTGCTGAGGCCTGAGTCACCCATTCACAGGTACCTCTTCTGGGTGGCGACGTCTATTCTTCAGCTCGATGAGGCTCCCCTCTATGCTTCTGGGTTGGCACTTCTCGAGCAGAATCTTCACACTTTGGATTCTCAAGGAATTTTTGATGATAAGAGCCTGGAGAAGGTGATGATGTCCACGAGGGAGCCTCTGGAGTGGCATTTCAAGCAGTTGGATCATGCTGTGGGTCTGTCATTCAAGTCGAATTTTCATTTTGCCTTGGTGGGACATTTGCTCAAGGGGTACAGACACCCCACACCTACCACTGTCACGAGGACTGCTAGAGTGCTGACAATGTTGTTGGCTATCGTGGCAAAACCAGTTATGAGAGACAAGTTCGAGGTGACACCTGAAAGTGTGGCGTATCTAGCTGCTCTTGTACATGTTAGTGAGGAGGTCAGGAGCAGGTGTCACGTCAGACACTCACTAGGGAGAAATGTTGCCGAATCCAACTCCAGTGATTTTCTGGATGTGCTGGTGACGAATGGACCTGATGTTAATCCTATCGGGAACCTCACGAGTAGAAAACAAAAGTCCTGGGATCTGCTCGATCAGAATGCCATTAGTCAGGCTAAACTCCAGAAACCACATACCTCGCATCAAAGTGGAAGGGCTTTGTTCAGGACCCAGAGATCGTTCTCTGTTCCAACTACCAAGGAAGCTAAGGCTATCGACGAGGGCGAGTCTAAGAATCGCAGCACCAGAGTAAGTGTGAGTAATGAGAACAACGTCCTTTTGGATCCTGAAGTTCTCACTGACTTTTCCACCCAAACCCTCGTGCTGACGATCCTGGCGACGTTGGTCAAGTACTCTACTGATGAGAATGAGACGAGAATACTCTACGAGTACCTTGCTGAGGCCTCTGTCGTATTTTCCAAGGTTTTTCCAGTCATCAACAATTTGCTTGATGCTAAAATCACAAGTGTTCTGTCGTCATGTCACGATCAAGTGATCGTGAGTGCAGTTCAGGCTATCATTCAGAACATGATAGCTTGTGAGGACACGGGTCAGCAGCTCCACTATCTCCAGAGCTGTGGATTTGGAGGTCTCTGGAGGTTCGCTGGACCATTCGCCAAGTGCAATCGAACAGCTGAGAGCGCCGAATTATTCGTCAATTGTCTGGAGGCTATGGTGGAGACGTGCCTACCCACTGAGGAGACTGAAATCAGCAGCGAATTGTCTGTCGAGAGTGACAGGAGGAGTGATAATGTACAAATGCAGGGAAGGAGTGCTGTATCGAGAGGGCGAAATCATTCTCAGGAAATTAGTTCAAAAGAAGCTTCGTCTTCTGGACCAAGAGAGTGAGTAAATATTTTTTTATTTAAATAACCATTTAAGTTTTGTTAAGCTTTATCCATCCTTATTTACCCATTGGTTTCAGATTTCATGTCGATAACAAGAGGGAACCAACTGTTTCTACTCACGTGAATAACATCTCTCATTCATAGCGTTTATTACAAACTTCTAGACACTTTGGGGCTGGATACAGCCGGATCAACAGGCTCCAGGACACGACGGAAAACTCGTCGTCTAGGTGATAATGAGGACACCAATGACAGCATTTATGGATCGTTTGTAGTTAGAGGATGAAGCTTTAGGTTTAAATTGTTTTTAATGTAGGTAAACTGGCTGTTGTTTCAGTAGTGAAGTGCTAGAACTAGAGATTAAATTAACGAAAATATCAAATGAGGAATTAAAAATGATACTAGAAAAAGTAAGCTGAGGAAATAGTCCTGTTTGATCACTTTACTACTGATTCATCATCCAATTATTTCCCTTTATTATTAAAAATGCACAACGAGTATTTTTGGGTCTCCATTACATGATCAGTCGATTTCATTTAGTGCCGTCCACGTCCTAATAAAACGCGATAACGAAAAAAAATCTACCTGATCAATTCCTCACTATTCGAAGGAGTTTAAATAATGAAGATGCCCCATTAATTTTTTTAATCTATTGTTTTAATTTAGTCGATGATTTCGTGCAGGTGAAGGCACGAATTAATTTCTTATTGTATTGGAATATGGAGTGCAGAAAGAAAAAATGTCTTAGTGTGAGAAAAAAATCGTTCGTTTGTTCGAGAAGAGGTTTCTACAGTCTAGAAAATTTTAAATTAATTCTATAAACATTCTTGAATGAAAAATAGGTTTTTTAGAATCTAGGAACGTCCTTTGCGACACGAAGGTTTTTTTTGTCAAATCCAAGGCATTTTTTTTTTGTCTCCTTGGATACATGGAATTTAAAATTCATCACCAAGGCTAATAACGACTCGATTATTTTCCACCGAGTGTATAATACACCCTAGGCTTTAAATAAAGATTATTTAACGAGAAAAATGCGGGGAGCGAGTAACTCTCGAGCCCCTCGTGTAGCAATTGAGAATAGAAGTTAAAGTAAGTTTTAAATAAATTAAATTTCGTATGCGGCCTATTACCGTACTAATCCGTAATTAGTATTCTAGGTCGCTGGTATAATCAATGTGATGTATTTACTAAAAATTTTAATGCCAATATCAATGAATCGTTTTTTGAAACTAGTGGATATGAATATTTTATTATATTTTGACTGTTTTTTTTCTTTTTTACCAGATGAGTATTAAATTTTCTCTCTAACAGGACAGACTGCGTCTCAGTAACGTTTTTTTCTCGTTCAAACCATTTAATCATTAATTTTCTTTTATTTTGCATTTTAATTAGTCTCGAGGATTGAATGCTTCCGGCCATTGAGTCTTCCTAGATTTATTCTTTTTCGCGTACGTTCTTTCGATTTTTATGAGGAGGAAATATCACTATTGTTATTATTCATTTGTTGATATTGATTAACACTGAACACCAATTTAAGATCGCAGGCGAACCTTAATCGATTGCAGAGGGATTTTAAGGTGTCATGGGGAAAAATGTTTGTTACTATTTCTCGTGTTGTAGAATAACGTCATATTTTCATTAAGTATCATATGTAGTTTCGAGGGGAGTACTGTGAATTGTAAATACCATGGCTTATTAATCAAAGGATCTTCCTGCGTTCTCGATGCCACTCTAGTTTCGGAGTGGGAACAGGCAATATTCAATTAAAATGCGGTATTTTAGCTAATTATCAATTTGTGGGCTCTCCAGATATAAGAGAAAAATGATAGAACTTCTTTTAATAACCCGTGATATTTAGAACTCGTAGTCTCCTCTCTTAAGGCTCGGGTGGATTATCTAGAAAAGATAATTTACTCCGAAATGCGGATTCCTAATTACTTTGGCAATTAATCGTTTTTTTCAATAATTGTTAGCTAGCGTTCTAGCGGTTGTCAACAACTAGGCCGCTAGCTAACATTTATCGGAAAAAACGATTAATTGACGGAGTAATTAGGAGTCCCAATTTTGGAGTAAATTATCTTTTTTTTTTTGCAGACAGTCCATCCGGGCCTTAAACGACAAAGCGAAGTCTTTTCTTGAGCATCTGAAGACTAGTTTGTTAAGATCCCCCATGACATCATCAACGAGCAATGAATAAATTAACGCATATTGATTTGCGTACCAAGTCCAATACGAAACCCCCATAATTAAAAAGTGTGTAATGAATTATAAAAAATCCACTCAACAGCTAAAACCCCGAATGTAAGTTTGAATGAAAAAAAAAAAACCAGAACCAACGACACCATGTACGAATAAAGATATTTCTGCTTATTCAATGATTTTTATAATAAACCTATAATTCCAAAGAAATACATAAATTCTCTTGTCTCTTGCATCCACTCGACAAGATCCTACGTAAAATAAAACATCTTAACTGAGATTGAACGCATTCCACACGCAAGTAAGTGAAAAGCTGTTTACACTTTCATTATTCAAATAGAAAAAAAGGTGATCGTGGGACGACAAAGTTCCTCCATCAATTCCGTCCTGCTCCAGCTCAGCATGATCTCCCCCACATCCACGAAAAATCCAAGTGTTGAAACGGCATCCAACAATCACCCAATTGAAAGACTACTTATCTCCTAGTCTCGAAAAAAAAAAATGAAAAGGGTAAATATGTCGCGACATTCTGGTAGAGCGGCTTATGAACATTATACAAAGATATCACAAAATTCTGAACAAATTGCATTTCGCGATGATCATATAAGTGTTAAAAAAAAAGAATTTACTTGTCATAGATACGAAGAAAACTGTCAATTTGCCTGTCAATTGTCCCTATTTACATGTGAAAGTAGAACAATTACTTTAGCTGGCGTAATGAGCCCAAGGGGAAATATCATCAATTGTCAGACACGCTCTGGCTCTTATAAAATCATGTGCGATTAAAAACATAAGAATTAACTAAACCAATCTACCTCACGCGGTATTCGAAAAATCATAATATAAATGGGAGGCATATTGCTCGGTTTTTCTTTCATTTTATCGGAGTACATAAATAGAATATAACCGCTATTACAATTCATTAATGTTAGTGTCGTCGTATTACAATAATATAATATAACATATCAATAGTTGAATCATAATAATAATAATAATGAGATAATAATAATACATTTAGCCTACTTGGTATCTTGAAGATCGACAGAACGATCCAGATAGTCATCTCACGTTGATAAATTTTCTCATCATCAGTTTTTAATAATTAATTTACTGCATTGCTTTCACGTCGTAAATAATTCTCGTAAATAATTGGAGAAAGATAAATAACACTTTGTCAAGTAAAAAAAAAAGTGCTGAATGAAATGGTCGTCAGACTCGGAAGAATAATTGACAGTTCGTGCGATTGAAAAAGAAATAAAACGTAAATAAAGAATTGAGTGAAAGACTGAGAGCCAGACTGGAGGTGTCCCACACTGAACCCTCGATTATCCAAAAATATCCAAAAATAACATGATAATCGAGAGGATCTCGAATCGAAACTCGAATTGGAAATCAGAAATGGTTTAACATTGAAAATAAATTCCATTATTTTTTGGTTTATCCTTCTTTTCACTGTTATATTTTTCGAGGATGAAGCATTTAATCGCCATCGTTATTAAAAAGATACAATTATTATAGTCTTTGCAAAAAAAATTGCTACAATGCACACAGGCGTTTTTTTTTTGTTGTTTTCTGTTTAAAGTATCAGGCAGATGTGTATTTAAACTTCACACAGACAAGCAATTCAAACACTCATACAATTGTAACATACACGCGCTGATGGATCCGAATATATATATGTATTTATTTTGGAATACATAAATACGTATATATATTTTAATTTACGAAGGATGCACGGATCACTGTATTGGCTGGTGCACTTAATCTTCTGTATGAAATTCAGTTGTCGGATTTATTTGCTCTTCATTTTTTTTCAATATCCGTTATTGGACGCGTTTTACATGTTTCTAGTTGTTGATCGTTTTTTTTTCATTTATGTAAAGTAATTAAAGATAAGATATCAAGTATGTTATAGGTTTTCTTGCTTTTCTTATGCTTCGGGGGCCTCCGGCATTACGACTAGCTTTCCGTAGATTATTTTCATTATTATTATTATTATTCTCTTCATTTTTTTTTGAATAGCTAGTACCGCAATTCCATGATTTTACGTTTGTTTATTCACCCGGTCGGCGTCGGGCCCATTCCGCATAATAGACTCAGAGCAACCTACATCTGCCCTTTTTCTTCTTTTTTACCTGCAATTGAAATTCCAAGGCATGAGTTATCACATTTTATAAGATCTATTTTCATTATTGTCATTATTACCATCAAAGAAATCTATCGCTATCTATCTATTCTATAATTGAACGATAGAAGACGAATTTTAAAGATAAAAAGATATGGATTAATAATTGGGGAAGGTTGATTGATTGATGAACCAGGGTAATAAAAATGTAATATTATTAACCTGGAGTGCTGCTCTGGTCGCTGTTTCGAATACTTCTCGTACACCCTCCTTGCTCTTGGCAGAGCACTCGAGGTAAGCAAAGGCATTAATTTTTTCAGCCATGGCTCTACCCTCTTCTGGCTTTACTGGCTCTTGCTTCATTTTACCAAGCTCCTTGATAGTGCCTGGGTCATTGCGCAAATCCTTTTTGTTTCCAACGAGAATAATTGGTACATTTGGACAGAAGTGCTTCACCTCGGGTGTCCATTTCTCGGGAATGTTCTCTAATGAATCCGGACTGTCAATCGAAAAACACATGAGAATTACGTCGGTGTCCGGATAAGATAGTGGACGCAGCCTGTCGTAGTCTTCTTGTCCTGCTGTATCCCAGAGGGCCAACTCAACCTATCGACATCACAATAATCAATTGTATTCCAATCCAATTATTTTCTATACGACTGCTTCATTATAAATTTCGAAAGAAATATTCATTTACAAAATTGTTTTAATGGGTTAAAATATTCTGTTATTTTCTTTCTGATGCAATTAAAATCAATACGACGAAATTGAGACGGACTTGGTCGAGCAGAAAATAACAGAAGCACTTGAATATCTCAATGAGATTCTTGGACGTACCTGTTTGCTGTCCACTTCAATGTCAGCCACATAATTTTCAAATACAGTGGGAACATAAACCTCGGGAAACTGATCTTTGCTGAATACTATGAGCAGGCAGGTTTTACCACAGGCACCATCGCCCACGATTACTAGTTTCTTTCTGATAGCCGCCATGAATCCTAAAATAATAATCAATCCTTTGAATCTCCATCCACCCATTTGTCATTATTTCTAACGAGCAAATTCAATGGATAAGGTGAATCATCCAGTGTTCGAATAGACAAGAGGCATTACCAGTAATCGAAACATTGGAATTGGATAATAAAAGACTGGAAACAGCTCATTGGAGAGTCCCGTCGTGAGAGCTCGTATTTTATCCAATCAATAATTCCTCTCGAATATAAAAAACATTTAAAATTCGAACACTGTTTTAAGGACGAATGTGGCAAAATATACACTTCAGACATTTTCTCAGATGACATTTGAAAATTTGAAAAAAGGTCTAGTCCCTTTGCCCCATCATTCTCGTTTCACTTTATTCCCGAATTTTCGGTGTCGTTAAGCCCCAGTTGTATTATTTCCCAATATTTTGAAAGTTCTCAATTGATAATAGAAATAATAGAACAGACGTTGGAAAAACGATAAACTGGGTCTTAAGGACATTAAATCGCGGTGATAAAATAATTTCCCCTCTTCTAGGTGATGATCTCTTTCCGAGATCTACCATGCTAATGCCATTGTGATTGCCTGAGGTACCCTTTCTAAAATGGATTATTTTTACAAGATATACATCCTGGTAGCTATTGGCGAGGCTGAAACAAAATGGATGGGTCTCATCACCAGTAATTCCTCGAGATTGTCCCAAATATCTCAACGTAATTGCAAGACATTTAAAATCCTTTCCATCCATTTTGCTTCTCTCATCTATAACAAGTCCCTAATAAAATCCATGTCAGGTGCTTTGCAGTTGGCATGATCTAAAAAACTGCAATCTCTCATCTAATAATCATAAACCAACGGTCTCCTATAATTCTTCCATCTCATTCATCTGGCGATAATAACTTCAATCACAAATTGAGTACTTGGAGGTGTTTAATGTGGAGATAAAGCATCCAGGAATTAGCGGAAATAGTGGATTCATCAGGTGTTAGTGAGTGATATTCTATTTTACAGTGCCCAATGTGAATTACGCTCAATGTTATTTACATCATCATTTTTTTTCAATACATTAACTAGAGGGGATAGACTAGCCAACAATGACGATTGTCGCCGGAACCACTACATTTTTCATCCTAAATTCCAGCTAAATTTCAACCGTAAAAATTAATGTAAAAATTAATGTAAAAATTAAGGTAAAAAATCCATTTACGAGTATTGTTAATAAGCAATTTGATCGATGTGCTATGCAATGCTTTGAAAACCTACGAGGTTCGAGGTGTTTTAATTGTTTCTCTTTTTAAAAAAAAAAGAAAAAGAAATGTGGACTTGGGTCGTACCTGATCCAGGGTGACCCGTATCGTCTGAACCGATGCCTCGGCCCACAATGCATCCCATCTTTTTAGTCTTTCTTTCTCAGCATTCTCTGTTTTAAGTGGACATTTTTGTGGATGGTTAAAATATATCGGATTGGAAGAGGATATGGTTATTCTGACACCAAAAAATTATGTTTAATACGGACTTATTCGGTCTCAATCCTCTGAATTTCTCCATTCCTCGGGATAATTATTGATATTATTAATTAATTCAGCAGTGGAGCAGACGAAGGGGCAAAAAGTCCAGTTGTCTTATCAATTGTTGAATTATCTTGATAACGAGTGATTTCAGGGAGATATATGACAATATATGGCAATGCCCCTGAGACAACTCGTTCTCTGGATAAAATGACAAATATGAAAGAGATGAAAGGACATTGACTCATACCAATTCACCCCTCTTTTGCCGAATTAATCTAATTACCCCACGTGATTAATGTTGAATGTTGCATTTGTTAAGTTCATACACATTTTCATACTTATGCCCTCTCCTGGAATCGACAATCATGCTCCAATAATAGATTCTACCAAGCATGCAACAATAAATGAACTTTCAAAACATTCCTCTCCCGATAGTGTCGTCGTAAGGAACCAAACAAGTATGACTGTTGTACGAGAATATCTCCGACATTGGAAAAAAAGTACAATAAAGATAAGATACAGCGAGCCTGATAAAGTGTGCCAAAGGTCTGTTACAGTACTGCAATCATCTCCTCAGAACTCAATCAAAACACAAAAATTTCAACTGCAGATGAAATTCTTTACGCTATTCGAAAAATACTCTTGAAATTTAAAATAAAATCGTTAAATTTCAACTGGTGACGAATTCACAAAAATTTCACGGTAATTTATCACTGATAAATATTAATATAATAAATATTTTGTGAAACCCTTTTTTAATGCGACGATAATGATGACTGGTGAAATTTCGGATAACTATTCCTCTCGATTCTTCATCCATTTAATTTGTATAAAAAGAGATTGCAGTTGAGCTACCCCTCTTTTCTCTGTATTTTATTAGTGGAAAGTCAGATAGTTCCTTGAATATTCAATGAAACTCTAGTTTTCTAGTTGATGCAGCAATAAAGATAGTGAAAATGGTGTAAACAATTCGTCTGGATTCGCAATCTATCGAAGATTCCATTGAACCGAATATAAAAATTCCATAACAATAATGAAAATTGAAGCTGTCTCAAAAATATTCCCAATTTTTTACCCCAAAAATTAAAATTTCATTGGATTCCCAAGTGACGCAAGTAACGATATCCTCATGACCCACGTGATCTTAACCCGGACTGATCTCCCCAAAAACACCTGAAGATGAAATTGAAAAAAAATCAATCAGTGCACCTCACAACTCCAAACCACATGATGTCATATAGTTTCCGAGTACATCGACTGAATCAATGATAAAACTCGACACTTACGTCAGTTATTCCACGAAGTCAAATGTTTGTGATCGACCGATGATGGAATAAAACCCCCCGATCCCTGGGGATTACCACTCAAACCCCAAATGAACAGCCTAAACTCCTGAAAAGGTCAAATGCAACACCAAAAAAGGTTGAAAAAGAAAAAAAAGCGTCGGGCAGAAACGACCGGGGGAAAAAATCTGACAACGCCGGAAGTGCACTGGCATTAAGGTGGGAAGTGTTTCAGACGCAAGTAAAATGGATGAGGAAGCGTTGGAATGAAAACAAAAAAAAAAATTACTGATACTCTTCACCTCGACATCGTCCTCACTCTGTCGATTAAACTCACTCGATTGAACTGTGCAAAATCACGACAAAGAGAATTCGACGTTGAAGCTCACACACCCAAGGGGCAACCAGAGGGATGAAGTGAGGGGAACCAAGAGGAAAAGCCTGGAGGGGGGCACTCTCCGAATATCTATCAAAAAAAAATGTTCTCCCAGTTGAAAAAAATGACAGACTCAATCAATTCATTAACAATCTATTTCGCGATTATTGTCCCACTTTTAATTCCTCTAAATTACTTCAATATCAATTGTACAGAGCATGACACTCCTCCCAGCACACCTCGCAAACGTACTTATACTTAACTCTGCCTCAAAACGTTACGCATTTATTTTGTAGGGAAAAAAAAGATGGGACTTGAATTCTCACACCCCCGTGTTATTGTAACTCGTTTAAATCACAATTTCATCAACATTTTTTTTTTCAATCGTTAATTCACGACACCGACACACCATTCGCGTTGGTCATTTAAGTTTATTTAATGAACTAAATTGCGTATTTACCTGAAAATCTTATGCGACAGATAGACCAAGAAAATGGCTGCCAATGGCTGCCTTCTGTGGCCACACCTCAATCTGTTGAGTGTACCGCACTGTGCAGACAACCTTCACGTGGTGGGGGAAATTTGAGGGGAAAATGGGGGGAGAGATGTTTGATTTTTTCAGGGGAGAGAGTTGATAGCACTGAAAACACGTTGGCAATCCTGACCACCACCCGGCTCTTCAATAATTTCAACATATTTTTTCAACTACTCCATTCAACAATTAATTTTCTCATTTTACTTCAATAATAATATCAATATTAATAACAATAAATAATAATAATGAAAATTTCAATAATTTTGAGTGGTGTCTTCCTATTTTTATTCTGGAAAAAATGAAATACTTGAGAATTATGTGTTTAAATGTTTTTAATTGTTAACAATATCCGTAATAATGCATTATTTATAAGTATACACGCATAATTCCGTTGTAATATTGTCCTATTGCGTTCGTTACACTTGACTTTATTTACACTGAAGTTATGTCACATATTTTATACAAATAATACCCGGTATACATCAAACTGAATGCGCCACAAATAATACGTGAAATCGAAATATACAAATCTGAGAAGATTTCAACGCGTGATGTTCATTCAAAAAATCAATCTGGTCGTGATATGTCTTCACTAGATTAATTGATTTCACCAACGATTATTTCACTGTATGTGTCAGGAAAAAAAAGGCACAATTTATACTTCAAAACAAACAAGTGAATAAATGAAATGCATGTACGAGTATTAAATAACGAAAAATAGACATTCGGAGGACAATGTAACGAATGAAGACTACTTCGCCGCGATGACAAGAAAAATTGATAATCTCTACTCTCTGTGGAAATAAAAATATTCTTGAAGTCTTGATTACGACAATAAATAATTTTTCATTCAAAAACAGTTTTGCATTTTAAAGGATACATTCTTTAATCGGAATGATCTCAAGATATTGCACCTAAAATCAAAAATTTTCACTCGAAATTGATGCAGGAAGCAAATACAATCAATTACGTGTTTGAATAAAAAAATATGCGTTCTGACCGAAGAAAAATACTTCCTTCAAGAATACTTTTTCTCCATTGAATTTCTGAAGACTGTCTCTTAAAAATTCGTCTAATGGAAATATGTACAGCCGTCAATATTGATCTAGGGAATGATTCAGTGTTTATCACCATTCCAACATTCATCTCACAATCGTTCATCATTCACGATACAAACACTTTCAGTTCTCCATTTTTGGGTAACGAATTCCTCGAAATGGCTGATTTTAGCGGCGAGTGTGAGCCGAGAGGCGAGATCGTAGGTTCCAGGTGAGGAGATGACAGCTTGAAGTTTGATGGTTTGACGTCCGTATGCCTCTACCTGACACTTTATTGAGGTGTGACAGGCATATCGAAAGAACGTTGAGGCTTGTGGTGAATACAATTGCGATTTAATGCTCGGTAAGTGTGCTTGACTGTAATTAATAAAATCTCAAATTATTATAGCTCATCCCCATTCGATTTGTATAAAAATTACTATAAAATAACTCGATTTATATATTTATAATAACTAGAGAGAATTAACTTAAGCTCATAATTAAAAATGTAATCAATTAATTGATAATTTCCGCAGTGGTACCTTAACAAAAACCTAAAAAAATCCTGAAGATTTTCTTCGAGTAAATAAATCTTCACCCTCACCTGTTGCTCTCCAAAGTATAAACCCTGACATCGAGCCTGGCCCTGGAATTATTTTGCAGATGCAGTAGCACCGGGACGATAAACACCCTCTGCTTTCCAAAGTCATGCTGCAGGTTCTTCCCATGACTTAATGTGAAGGTGAGAGAATTTGCCAAATTGGTCTCCTGTTCCTCCTCCTTGGCAGTTGCACTGGCATCAGGAACGTTCCTGTCTGGTCCAAAAATCGTGAGCCTCGACGAGTACTCCCTCTGCTCCGGCTGAACGACTTCCTCCGGATGCTTATACAACTTATTCAAGTATCTCATGTCAATATGATGATGGCCAATAGCTACTCTAGCCAGGGTCGCCCCCTCAATGATCTTAGCCCTCCACCTGACGACTACAGTCGCTCCAGCCCTTCCATCGAACACCTCGAGAGAATCATCCACCTTTAGATGATTCTGATTGCTGTCAGTGATGCCCTTCAACTGCTGTCTCCTCACAAAATCCACGTAAAGCCCCTCAAGTTCAGGATCACCTCCACCCCCCAACGACACATTCGAGAAGAACTCCTCATTATCCCTGCGACACAATTTGAGCACCAGATGACACGTCTCCTGAGGCTTTATTTGATGGGGAAATTCCTTGACGAGTGAGTCAGACAGCCTCCAGGTGTCACTTCTCAATGAAACTCTCGTCAGCTCGATGTCCTGCATGAAGGGATCGTGGACCTGATTGGCGTTCTTCACCTGGACCACGAGATTCGACGTCAGAGATGCGTCCTGGGTGACACCACTTTGCCTGACAATTGTCTGGATGTGAATTGAATCGAGAACAGTCAGTTGCCACGTGTGCCTGCACAGCCGGTACCTGGGAATACTCTTCCCATCCTGATTCTCATAATAAAAAAGTAAATCCAGACGATGATTGCCCTTTTCGTGAGGTGCACGTACCCACAGTGGAACACTAAATTCCTCATTAATCCCCATGACTCCTTCACTCGTCGATGGCAGGGCAATTCTCGTGACAGACTTCTCATTATCTCTGACTTTGGTGCAGCCATCCTGGGAGTTCTCCAAGCAAAAGAGCTCAGGATTCATCGATCCCACTAGAATATTTCTCAATGGAGCATTTCCAATGTTCCTGAAGGTGACGTCAATTCTCTGCATCTCACCACACAACATTTCCGGTGATATTTTGCTGAAGTAAATCCCCAGAAATGGAGCCTTGTCAACTACATTGATATCGAGTCTGTAGTCGATGCCATACATCACAGCACCAGGTTTTTCTTTAACATTCTTCAGCTTCGGTCCCTTGATCTCGAATAGACGTTTTCCATGGATGAGAATGGAAGGATTAACCACAGGCAGACCGGCGCCATTTGTTGGATTAGAGAGATCATAGCTGACCCCCAGAATCTTCAAACTACCCTTCTGAGTGGGCGTGCAACTGAGAATGATTCTCTGTCTGCTCGTGGGTTGGAGTACGATGTGATCGATCACTGAAGTCTCCACTGAACTGGATTCAGATAAACTGTTCTCAGTGATGGTCTCGTTGTTGAAGACCTCTCCGTCCTTCTCAAATGTCCAGATGAGTTTCACTTTGGACAGAGGGACACTGATGTGGAGGGGGTTGTGGAGCTCGATGGAGAGGTGGATGGGTTCATCGATGACAGCATTGGGACGATTGGTATTATTCGTTTTATCGGTATAAAGAGCGATTGAGGGCTTGAAGATCATGGGGACAACTCCAAGGCCCTCGGACACGAGGTGTTCCTCGAGTTTTGACCATTTTACGTCGTCTTCGTGGGTGTGATCGAAGGAGACTGCACTGGCTGCTGTCACAGAGCTTGAGCTGCTGAGGAGAGGACCGAGCAGAACTTTTATCTCATTTCCATTGATGAGAGGGAGAGGTAGCACTGGGAGACCAGAGTAGTTGGATGACTCCTGCAGCAGAAGATTGTGGATGTGGAGGAATTCTCTGAGGAATGCGGCTTGTTGAGGGGCAGGCTGTCTGCTGGCTGGGTTAAGTAATCTACCGAAGGCCCTTGCTGCCTCTTCCACTTGCTTCAGGGATGCAGCTTGCCTCCCAATGGTGAAATGAATGTGATCCTCTGCTAGAGACCAACCTCGGCCATTGTAAACCTGGTAGGACTGCTGGTAGCACCTGAGAGAATGTTTCCTCTGTCCAGCCTTGGAGTACCTGTGGCCAGCGAGGACAGCATGGAAGGCATACTTGTGCACCATCTTCGAAGAAATAAAGCAGTAAGCTGCCTGCTCAAGCAGCAGAGCCGATCTCAGGTCAGAGTCCTCGCTGGTCATGCGGATGAGCTGCTTAGCGGCTTCCCCATGAAGATTTTCCCCCTTAAGACACTCCGATGACAGGAGAGTGGCCCTTGTTGCGAATTGAGGCATCTTGCAGCTGTTGGAGTACGTCAAAATAGCATCGTCCATGTACTCGATAGTTTTCCTTGTCATCTCCCCTTGCATAAAGGCACTGAGAGCTGCCATCTCCAGGGCTCCAGCGTAGTACAGCCACGCCTGGTCAGCAGCGAAGTCCCTTTTCGCAGAATGATAAGCTTGATAAGCCAGAGTGTAATGACCAAACATAAAGCAGAGGTCCCCTAGACGACGCAGCTGGAGCTCGGGGGATTCAGTCGTATAAATCACTGCATTCGTAGGGGTGGAGCCAGCGGCTCCAGGTTTATTTGTGCCGAACCAACGTTTTGTAGCACTGAAGAGGGATCTGCTGACTCCTTTCTTGTTAGAGATCACATCATTCAGCAGATTAATCTGCTTCTCCACGTAAGGCAAGAGGCTCTTGAGGCAAAATTCTGAGATGAAAGTGCGAATTCTATCCAGATCCTGAGTTGAGAGAAGAGCACCATGGTGAGCTGGTGGTCGATTGGGAGAATCTGCCCAGACATTTATGTTGATTGGAGAACCAGAGGATTTAAGGGATTCGAGGGTTTCTGGCAATTTTGGCTTCTCGTTCTCTGGGCTGAGAGGGTGAATTGTCACGGGAACAGCTTCTTGGCCGAGCTCCACTGGAAGGCTGGGGAGGTCTGAGAGCTCGGAGGAAAGGCTGATCTTGTCGGTGATGTCTGGAGATAAAAGGATGGGGTTCTGAGGTGCCACTGGTGTACCAGCCTGGCTCGATTTGTCATGGCCACTGGTTACTTGATTTGGCATTGAGGAAACACCAGTGGTGTCTGCTGGGGTGCGGGGACTGCTGCTGTGGTCGAGGCTGATGTCAGCGTGCTTTGTCAAGAATTGACTCCAGGGATCTGGCAGGTGGAGGACATCGTCAGCTTGTCCTGGAGGACGAGAGTTCATCTGGAGAAGGAAGCAATTGTTGATGTCGTAGAGATTTTTCATCTCTGCAAAGACTTTCTCTGCTTTTTCCTTCTCGTGCTCGTGACTCGCGTCGTGGAGGAGGATGTAGTATCTCAGGGCATTGTTGTTGAACCATTTAGGGAGTTTTCCTGGGGGACTCTGGTGCAACTGGGAGGCCATCTGCTGGAGCTTCTCCAGGGGACTCTCGTCGGAAGTGGAGACTACTAGCAGGCAGGCGAGGTAGTGCTTTGTGAACTCATGATCTGAGGGAAACTGCACGGACAGGAACATGTCCCTCCAGGACTCGTACCAGGGTACTGACACTGGGATGTCCAAGTTTATGTTGGAAATTGTGGTGGTTGCGCTGCGCTCGCATTGCTCTGAGGTGACGGAATCGTTTAGTAATTTGCGAGCTACTGATGGCTCTGGAGGTTGCGTGTAAATGTCCTGGATTGACAGGTGCAGATTCCGGACCGGCACTGTCGTTCCTTGGGGGTCCTTGATGTAACCTGCAATATTATATTACGGTTATATATTTATTTATATTTCTTCTCTAACCCTTTAACGTTTCTTTGCGAATTTTCCAGTAGCTGAGGTAAACGAGGTATTAACGAGAAAAATCGATAATTGTACATTCGCTTGTTAACAAGTTGAGGATTTTTTATCCAGTACTTCTATCGCAAGAATTTTTGAATTTTGACATCTGTTAGATGTGGAACATTGTATTTTACTCGTCGATAAAAATATTCAAATTTTATTTTTTAGGAAATATTGACGGGACAACAAAATAATTGAGTTATAAAATGAGTTTTATATTTTTGAAGAGCGGAGTGGCTACAGAGAGTCTGGACTTTTTTGATAAATTACAATAAAAGTATTCAGTTGAGCTATTGAATTATCTCGACATTCAGCTATTGCTGCGAGTAATGATAACATATCTCGATAATTACCTTCGGCATTGAGGTTGCAAAAAGGTTGGAGCAATTCGATGAATGATAAATTATTCTTCTGGCAGATTAATTCAGCATTGGGTGAGCAAACAGCACCAATTTGAGGAGAGAAGGCATTGCAGATGAATTCTCGTGGGGTTAACTTGCACTGAGCCATGTCTTCGATTTTCAATTCTCGAAGACAACTGCCATGTAACATACTCATTCCTCCATCATTTATCTCACTGACACTTCATCACTTTCATTGAGTATTTATCTACAGTCAATCCGCAATTACTAAAAAACGGGAGTTATTCAATTTTTCTTGACCATCTCATCGACATGATAAACATGTCCAGAAGGAGGTGAAGGGTGGGTTTGCAATACACCCTATTAAAACAGCTGTTTGCCATTGAGTTTTCCACTTTCATGAGATTGACAACTCGCATACAAATCTCGTGTGATCTATATCAAATTAAAAAGAGTGAATTTTCTCGTTGAAAAGGGAAAATTGTGGGGCGTGTAACAGGATTTTTTTTTTCATTTACTTTTTATGAATGTGAAACGAAGCTACAGATGATAGGAGAGGTTGTCAGTGCCTGTTAAAAATCTGCAACATAAAAGACGAGTGTCGTACCCAAAGAGGATTGATTAAAGTAGAGGCCCAGTTCTGGGGGTTGGAGTGACCCCAGAGGCATCGTAGTACTGCACCCCAAGAGAGGGAGGGCGCCACACGCAATGCTGGGGTGTCCATCAAGTCGACGGGGTGAATTTTATTTTCTGCGGTATGAATGCTTTTTGTTTTTTATTTGTCTAGCTGAAATTTAGCCGACTGTAAAACGAGCTAAAGGGGGAAGCCACATCTTGTGGGATTTCAAATGGAAAAATTATTCAATATATGAGAGAAATACTACTAATCAAATTATATTCATAGAATAAGCACGTTGTCTAACCGGTAACGTGTTTGCCTACCACGCGAACGGTCAGGGTTCGATCCCGCCATCATTCATTTTTTTTATTAATAATTCCAATCTTTTCTTTTGTAAATGGCTAATCAATCGAAATATTGGTTGAAAACTGAATAGCTCCTCGATTTTCATGTTCCCCTGATACTTTTTCAAAAATTTCGAATTTTCGAATTTCGAACCCGAAATATGCGTTTTTATGTTTTCCAGCACTCCAAACCGAAAAATGCAAATATCTCGGCTCCTATGGGTCCTAGAGCGAAATCCTTGAAATTTGAGCCCCCCCTAGAGTACACACCCCCCCTTGGAAAGCGATTCTCAGTCATTTAAACCCTACTGGAGCCCAAAAGATGAACTTTTTTTTTTTCAAGCCTTCCAAACCGAAAAATGCAAATATCTCGGCTCCTATGGGTCCTAGAGCGAAATCCTTGAAATTTGGGCCCCCCCTAGAGTAAACACCCCCCCTTGGAAAGCGATTCTCAGTCATTTAAACCCTACTGGAGCCCAAAAGATGAACTTTTTTTTTTT